GAGGGGGAGAGGCCAGGAAATGACTTCTTCAAATACACAACGCACTTCATGGATAGTGTTATTCCAATATTGTTACCAATGGTTCATGGAAGGCTTTATTCTGAAGAAGTTGGGCAATGTGGCATCGAGCCCAGGACCAGTTTGAAAACAATGGTAAATACATTTAGCAATGCTCAGAATCAAAATTCATGCAAGACCAAGAAGAAAAACAGAGTACTAAGTTTGCTCTTAGTGTATACTCAAAGACTAAAAGTATCACCATGAAACTAATTCTTTCCAAATGGTTTCCAAGTGATCTCTTTCTTGACTTCCTTTGCATCACCTGGGTGGCATAGTAACAAATTAACATAATGCATTGTTGGATTTTTAAACAATGGGAGAATAAAGGATGATTTTTTGCTCCAAGGCAACTCACTGGGTCTATATATCCTTATTAAGTAGCTAAGAAATAAGAGAAATATAATCCTCTTTTCTTCCCAAGATTATTATTTTCTTAAGGAAAAAAAAGCGTTATTTCATGTTACTATTGTGTGAAATTTCTGTATGATCAAAAAGAGAAAAAACACCCTCAAAATCTCTGCTGGACACTCTTTTATCCAGCTCTTCTGATACCAAATCCAAGCATGTAACCACCTCCTTACATACTCTGCCTACCCAGTACCACATACACTGTTATCCCATTTCATGGAGGGGAACAAAGACACTGATAAACTAAAGGATTATGCAAATTCAGAGAGTAAACCTGTGGCAGGGATAGTAGGGAACTGGACAAACTACAAACTCATCCTAAAAACTAGGCCAGATTTTTCCTCCAGAGAAGTATAATGCAATCACCACCTACTCCAAAGCAGCAGCAAAGGGTTCCAAAATAGAAGTTCTCCAGCTATCCCTGTCTGATGTAGTCCCACAGAAATCCAGATGAACTCCTGGCTACACTCTTACAACATACAAAGTAGGACAGAGAAGCAAAGAGTCAGTTCGCATTGGATGTTCTGTGCATTGCTACCAGCAAAGTAGAGGAAATGAGCTTTCTTCAGGCAAATGATTTCAGTATTTGGTTGAGGAATAATGTGTACCTTAGAACTCCTCAAAGTTCATCAGTTATAAATACAGAGCTAAAGTTTACTGCAACTGATGTGCACAGAAATGTAATATTCCATACATGGTTGCAAAATATACCAGAGAGCAGAATACAGGAAGACTTGAACAAATACTGTCCTATCACACCTTTTACACCCATCTTGAATTAAAAAAAAAAAAAAAAAAAGTGGAAGAAAACTGCAAATCCTTCCACACCTAAAACTTGAAGAAAACTGCAAATCCTTCCACACCATCCAACAGATGTGATTCTGTTTCTCAAGACTTCACTACCTACAAACAACAACCCTAAAGAGGTCATGGTGCAGTAGAAACACCATGCTTGATGCTCTCCGGAGACATTTCTTCAAAATTTTTCCATCTTTTACAGTTCAGGGAAACTTGCAAGGTTCTGCTCTGTAGACACAGGTCGCAGACCACCTCTCCAAATCAGTACTGGAGCAGCTAAAATAGTTATTTCCCTAGGTGGGACAAATTGTGCTACACAATCTGCCTCCTTCTGACATGACTTGGTTTTCTTCCTAGAGTACCCCTTGTTTTGAGTAACAGAGCACTGATAATCTAAGATGAAGGACAGAACTGAATTCTACGGATCACAATTATTCCCCCTAGGTCTGTCAAATCTGGCTGGGGATCTAGCAGAAACAACACACAAAGCAACTGTAAAAAAGGAAAATGCAAGGGTAGTGGAAACCTACCAGGACATGTGAAAACTTCTATAATAGCTTGCCTTTGTTTTGCTCCTGGTTTCAAGGCAGGACTCTGTAAATCTCAATTTAACATACTGCAGCCCTCTAAAATTTTAACAAATACTACACTGAGTAGTCTTAATCACATTTGAAAAAAGAATTAATAAAAAAC